TGCAAACACTATTCGAGTGAGTGAGTTTGGTTTTACGCCGCTTTTAGCAATATTCCAGCAATATCACGGCGGGGGACACCAGAAATGGGCTTCACACATTGTACCCATGTCGGGAATCGAACCCGGGTCTTCGGCGTGACGAGCGAACGCTTTAACCACTAGGCTACCCGACCGAAACACTATTCGAATCCATAAGACTGTCATATAAACATGAGCAATACGGCTATAGTTCTGGATAGTTCTGGATGTCAACTATCTTTTAACGTCTTTTGGTATGACGCGGCCGGGGATCGAACCCCGGACCTTCGGGTGGAAGTTCTACCACTAGACCACGGAGGCGGTCATTGGAATATAAGGACATGTAAATAATCAGATCTCTGCTTTCGCACAGAGTCTGTAAACCAAGTCACAGAACTTTAAATTAGACAAAGGATGCTCAGTACATTAGCGACGTTGCACATTGGTATAGACATAAACGGATGTGAAATGTATTAGAAATAAGCCCGGCGCACAAGCACTGTGTCTCGCTTGTATGATAATGATGCAGCAACACCCTTTGCTTTAATTCCATGTACGGCTAGAATATAGCAGGGACAAAGACATTCTTTGCAAATACCTTCACAAACAGGTCTGGTATCATAGGTCGTTGGTGTCACAGTATTGAGGCAGCATCCTTCCAAGCCGATCACCCGTCAAGCCAGTAGAAGTGGCAATAAGTCCACAACACACCAGATCATGATACTTGAGCGAGTCATTATAGATGTCCCGGTAATACACATCTCTCCAGTCATTTCAAATCTGTTGCAGTAGCCAGTCATACTTTTGACAGTTGCATTTCGCACAGCTGTGATAACCGCAGATATCAAACATATTTTATGGTCAAAATAGTCAGGATTTTTTATGTTTGGTCACCTAATATATCGGGAAACAAAATGCATTCGCGCATTTGCGCTGAAGATATTTCAATAACTTTTCCCAATCAAGTAATTTGTGTTGAATATACAGTCTCAGTTTTGAAACTATTCGGGTCTGACAATACTAGCATACTAACGGGGAAAAAGTAACTGTGCTACAACAAAAATTAATATTTAGCCATCAGGCGCCAATAAAAGCACTGTTGTTTAACCGTAATTAAGGCTTACGCAATGCCGCGGCTTGATGAAAATCAACGTCCACTTGCTGTGGGCATGCTGCAAACAGGAACGGCGCAAACCGAAGTTGCCAGACATTTTAATGTTCATCAAAACACAATATCATCTCTTTGGAGACTTTATATACAGCAGGGCAACATTCATGTCACGGGACAGTCGTGCGGCATCGGCGGAATCGATACCAAACAGCCACAATAATAGCTCGGGCAGTTCCTGGATTGAGACCAATTAGTGGCAGAACATCCACATCACATCACCGTCAGGTAGGCCTAGCATGGTGTCTGTGTTATAACAAGGCCCATCCGATTACTGCGATTGGGTGCAGCCTCTGGTGCAACGAACTAAACTATGACCAGTATTTTTAGAAGGGTAGTAGTTAATCTTTATAGCGTTAAAGCAGTTGAAAATCAATGTATGTGTTTAAAGTAAATCACATATCAATAATATTTGTTTTAGAGTCTATGTGGACCTATGACACCATTTTGTTTTATTATCTTGTTGTAATTACTAATGTTCTCAAATACAAATAACGTATATTTTATTTTGCTATATTAAAAATATTGTTTGGATTTTGAACCTGTTTCTATCAAAAATAGTTTGTTAACATTAGCGTCTCATTCCTGACGTTGGAATGGTGAGAATTAATATTTGCTTCAAAAGTGTTTGTTCCGTGAATTTACTGGTTGGATGAATAAGCCAAACATGACTTCTGTTGTCGTCGCCCAAGTATATCGTGTTTCGGACATACAGTCGGACCCCCTTATCTCGAAATTCGTTATCTCGAACATATTCTTTTTGCATGTTATCTCGAACCTTGGACTTTGTCTCAAAAATGTGTTGACATTTGCCATATTAACAGCTTTGAAAAGCCCCAATTAGCATTTTACATAGCTGCTAGCAATTATCCCACAAACAGGACGCAAAATTTGGGATGTAATAACCATGTTGTAACCTTGTTGTAACCATACACCCCATTTACATATTAGTAAGTGTTAAAGTATTAAAGGTGGTCGCTATCATAACTTCCGAACTATATAATTTTCAAACTTACTCATCAGTATACGTTCATAAATAATTTACTGGTCATGGACAATGCCCAAATGGGCCGCTAGCATTACATTTTGCTCAAACTTGTTCATACAATCTTGAATGAGTTGACTATTCCTATTATATTATTATAAGTACAGTATACACTTGCCGAGAACCACTTAAAGTGCGTTATTTCTAATCTAAAATGGGCACAGGATGTTAATGGACCATACCGTCAATGATAGCGGCATTTCCCGTATATAAAACTCGGACTTCTATACAGAAAATAAAACCTACAGGATTTTTTGTAATTATCCTACATTAACATAAATTAGTTCATAATGTAATATAACAGCAAAGGCGGATGCAGAAGGTGGGGTAGGATGATTGCTTTGGGAACGCCGGGATGCTGACTAAGGCCCCAAGCTAACTGTGCGTACCAACAGCAAAAGCTGTTAATAGCTATTGCCCTGTCGTACACAAGAACGTATGTCGCAAACCCTCGTCTTTATCATTTTCAAAAAGACGAGAGTGAACAAGCGAAGGTGAGTTGGTGGTGAAGTACTTGGGTAATTTCAAAGTTGTCTTTTAGTTGTTTGAAGAGGGTTTTATGTTGGCGAAGGAGTTTGGCAGTCGGGTCCTTCTTGATCTTGGAGTAGGTGGTGGGGTCTTTGAGGATGTTGTTGACTAGCTCATGGAAGTGGACAGTGTCCATGATGACTATGGACTTGCCCTTGTCATCAGGGGCAGTCTTGATGGTCTTGTCGTCTGTGAGAGAGGATGTGTTTACAATGTTTATTCCTAAAACAGGATATTTACCATCTTTAAAACACACACGGGTGACAACCTCTCTCTATATATATATTTGTGGTTTACATCACCCTATAGTTTAAAAGTAATGCCATGCGGTCGAGCATGCTACCGAAATACAATAGAAAAATCATGGTAATAAATCATTCAAAAGGCACCTTAAGTAACATATACTGAACCGCAAAAGAAACGTAACCCCAAGTAACATTGCATGAACAGTTGCCATTTAAATATCTGGGTAATTTTTGTCAAAGTTTCTAATATTTAACATTACCTTGTACGGAAAAATGACATTTGATGAATATAAAAAAAACAAAGCAGATGTCAATATATCCGACCCCCCAAACGCATCACGGCAACGGCCATGGTAACCTGATGCACGTGAGTTCCGTGCAAATTGAAATGCACATGCGTTCCCCTATAAAAATCCACCCAGATAGGATAACATTCATTCGTTATTGAATTGCTACCACATGCCAAGTTTGACAAGTAATCAGCGACACCAAGCCCGTGGTCGATTGCAAGCTGGACAAACCGCCCGGCAAGTAGCCAATGCATTTCAAGTCCACGGGAGGACAATATACGGGCTCCAGCAATGGTACCAGACCACCAACGCTACATATGACCGACCACGTAGTGGAAGACCAAGGGTCACCAACCGACGTCAGGATCGTCAGATTGTGCGACAGCATCTTCAAGATTGCTTTGTCACTGCTGCGGAAATGGGGCAATGGTGTCACAGCAGCTCGGTACATTGATCAAGTCTTGAGACCACACGCCATAAATCATTTGGCACGTCGCCGCAACCACGAGTTTCAGCATAATAACGCTCGTGCCCACACTGCGAGAGCAACACGAGACTTCCTCCAGCATTAGGCATAAGAACCATGCAGTGGCCTGCCCTCAGTCCCAATTTAAATCCAATTGAGCACCTGTGGGACGTGATTCAAAGACGGCTGAATGACGTCCGACCAGAGCCGACAACTGCAGCTGAACCGTCTCATCTATTCAATGTATCGACGTTGCACAGCAGTCATCAATGCACATGGCGGACATACGTGATACTGACTTCTCAGAGACTAGTGTTGTGTTTCAATGTATGTTTACAGTGTTTGGACAAATAAGGTTTCTCATACATCTATCCTTTTGTCGTTTCTTTTGCGGTTCAGTATACATGTATATCGTTACGAAACAACTTTCACCTAAATTGTGCAGTTTATTAATACTTAAAAGGTACATTTGTAACGGCCCAGGAGTTTCATAAAGGTCAGAGCGTGAAAACGTATTCGTTTTCTTGTCTACCAAGATCAATATGCACATAACACAATATCCAGTCATCACAGGCGTTTTCACACGAGGGTCCCACCCGAGCATGGTTTCTTATATTTTATTATCAAAATCAATTGATTGATTACCTGTACCTTTTCTGTACCGATTGTCAAATGTCTCCCGGTTTTGGATGCGATAGTTCTGCCATCGCGTTTATCTGCTTTGCCTGGCTACATCTATGGGGAACAACTCACTAGACACTCCCCTCTCATCAAGTTGCGAGCTCAAGTTCGAATCTCCTGAAAAAAACGTCATGACAGAACAATGGATTATCGTGAAATAAACCACGCTTCGTTCTTCATTGTTCTTTGCGATTTTTCGCGTAGCTATCTTATATTATGTGGTATGCAATACCGTACATTTACAACGTTATATGACACGATAGTGGGGTCTGTTTTAGAATATGGATCTTGTATGTGGGGAAACAATAATATGCCGTGTATTAATGCTGTACAGAATCGTGCAGTGCGTGAGCGACGTAGTCTCTCAAACAAGTGCCTTGTGTTAAACCCAAATTTTATCAACCTGTGATATACAGAAAATAGCCTATATTTTGTCAGATAATATTATGTGTCCACTTACAACCAAAATCGTTATAAAACTAACATTCTAATTCATGTCAAAATTACGCATGAATATGTATGAATATAATAGATAGTTGAATATTGTTTCATCTGATAGGCCTACTTGAACATACATACCATGGCTGTCTTCCTGGGAAAGCAACAGCTTCCTCGGCTATTATCAACTCTACAAAACATCCGGAAGGCAAATCATGTGAGTACAGCATGTGTTACATTATTGTAGACGTGTCTTTTAATGATAACTTTATTTATTGCTACGTTGATGTATCGTTCAAAACATGTTGTGGTCGACAGAGTACAGATCCGCGGATGTTTTTCCACTTTGCTCAAGCCAAGTGAAGCAGGATACAACATTTCAGGACAGAGCCTGTGTTTATTGATGTATACTTGGTTTGGTTGGTTTGTTGTTTAACGCTGCACTCAGCAATATTCCAGCTATATGACGGCGATCTGTAAATAATCGAGTCTACAGTGATTAATATCATGAGCATCGATCCACGCAATTGGGATCGATGGCATGTATCAACCAAGTCAGCGATCCTAACCACCCGATCCCGTTTGTCGCCTTTTAGGACTTTCATAGTCACCTTTTACGGCAAGTATGGGTTGCTGAAGACCTATACTACACCGGAATCTTCACGGGCCTATTGATGTACAAGTATATATCGATAAACTTATGGTCACAAGTCATGTGTGGTCACATTGATAGTTATCATTGATATTCATATATATATGTCTTTGATTTGATATTGTTATTAGTTGGTTGGTTTGTTGTTTAACGCCGCACTCAGCAATGTTCCAGCTATATGACGGCGGTCTGTAAATAATCGAGTCTGGACCAGACAATCCAGTGATTAGCATCTTGGACCACACAATTGGGATACGATGACATGCATCAACCAAGTCAGCAAGCCTGAACAACGGCGGTACATAACAAGATATTATGCTTACTGATGTGATAATAATCTGTTGAAACCTATGTGGTGCAATGTAAGTTACAACGATATTATATAATATTAAAACTCAATTTTAAACAATACTAAAACATATTACACATATTATGTCGTCGCTATAAACTGAAAGATTGCTGATGCGATGTAAAACTTGAACATATTAACTATAAAGTGCTTGGTGTCGGAATGATTGAATCCCAGATAATTCTATATAGGTCGCCAAAGTAACTGTCCAGATAAAGCTAAGTTGATAATGAGTCACATTCTTCAAATCTTGATTTTAATGTCTCAGTTGATAAATTTGAAAAACTGCACTATAATAAACCCTGAAAAAGATTGTTTGTCTGGGGGATGGACTGATTGAGATAACATGCCGTGTCTTGAATAAAATGCAAAACGTCAACGCCAGAGAATACTCAATATCCAGCTCGTGTCCAAACTCATTACATCGGGGGGAAATATATTATATTATTCAAATATGTGTTACATTTTGACTCACTCACTTCGTTTTTGATACAGTTGTTTAAACACATTCATGACGTTTTACACGAGGAGGCTGCAACAATGATATCTTCCAATAGAAGGGTCTTCGTGCAAAGTTCTGTTGACTAAAAAGCAAAACCACAAGTTTCAAAGAAAATGTTTATGTACAGTTACTTGTTCTTATGTACAAAGCAAATATCGAGTGGTCAGGCTCGCTGACTTGGTTGATGCATGTCATCGTATCCCAATTGCGTGGATCGATGTTCATGATGTCAATCACTGGATTTTCTGGTCCATATTCGATTATTTACAGACCGCCGTCATATAGCTGGAATATTGCTGAGAGCGACGTTAAACAACAACAAACAAAACAAATACAAGGCAAATACGTCTTCGTGTGCTAAAAATATTACCCTTCTTTTTTCAAGGATCCCAATTACATATTATGCAACAAGTACTTCTGTAACAGCTTTGTGTCGTCATTATCCCATAGCATAGCCCTATCACCTGTGGTTGTCGTCATTCCCCAGGTGAACAGTCTATTGCTTTAGGGTGAAAGTAGTGGTATACCAACCTCTGTCCCTATCTATAAAGTGTGTGATCTGACGAGGGTGTCTGGTATAAAGCAGCTGTTCTCATTTGGCGTTTTCTCTTCTTTGGGGTAATTATTTAATCAACGATTTGGGTATTAATTTAGATGTAGTCATTGATATGAATGTCTAACTGCAGTCAGATATGATTGAACAGATTAGAGGGTCAGTGCAATATCAATGGATGTGAAGTCAACCAACCCACAGATTACGGATTAAACATCAGAAGTGCGCGTCAGGTTTCTAAATGCTTAATTCATTTTTTGCATAATTTGTTTCTTCTACATGCGCCATACCTGATTTCAACATAAGAAATATATGAATGTTAACTGTAACGGTAGTCAGTATCAGTGTGTAAATAAGATACTTTTAGTAGCGCTTTATTGTTTCTCCTCGCTAGTGGCAGGTATGTTTTAGCTCCCTTGGGGAATGCAGTGAGTACCATGCTTTCAACTGAGAAAGGCCTTTGTTTATTCGCATTCCGACAAGATGTTTGACGGATTTCAGGGGACTGGGTAACTGTGAGTTTCTCTATGTTAGAATTCCTGTATAAACACCATGAATAGTCAGTTTCTCCGTTCAGAGTTTTAGAAAACATTATATTAACACATAAAACGCTACCTGTGAAGATAAATTCATATCCGTTTGACGAACTTAAGGATTTCAACACCTTTTGTTTCACGGTCACATTTAGATTCATTCAAATTATGGTAGCATATCACACTTGGAATTGAAAGCATTGCAAAAAGTGTAATTCCTATCATCGATGGTACAGAATGGTATTTATTAAAAATATTTGTCGATTTCTGTTAATATTCAAGACCTCTATTTCAGTTAAGTTGTTTCTCTGCCAAGGTCTTAACCGCATGTGCAAAAGTTCTATTTTTATGAAATTTTATACCAAGATATACATAAGAGTCTACTATTTCCAGTTCCATATTTCCATATTTGAAGGATAGTTTATTTCTTTTGTCTCAGCGATCTTGACATCTAGCTTCCATTCTGCACAATAATCATGGAAAACATCTAACGAAGCGCATGATTGCAAATAACAACCTTGATATTATTGTTACTTGTAATGGCCCACTCCCCGCTTGATATCTTATGAAGGAATCACACACACACACACACACACACACACACACACACACACACACACAAATACATGCATAACATAACATTCAAACTTTAGTATGTTGAGTAACACAACATAACGTTCTGCAGATGGCAGAACCTTCATCTCTGAGATGGGACGTGTGTATCTTGTTGCTGATTTCTCTCGGACGACAGCCTTTTCTTTTCTGTTTGCTACACTGGTAACACATGAGGCCACTTCGTTTAACAGGTCTGTGCTATTTTCCGCGTCTTCGCTAAACAAGTGTGTTGATCTTTCTCGGGGAGTTGGAACGTGAAGCCATGGGCTGTTTCCAAGTTGGCTTGAATTGATCTTGTTGCACAATCTGAGGGATTTAAAACTGTCGCAACATTTGTGAAGATGACCAAGTTTCTTATTTTGGCTACCCTATTCGTTACACAAACAGAAAATCTCCTGATTTTGTAAGAAATGGAGACATCGTTAAGAATGTCCGAGGAATCTGTAACTGCTCGAGTAATGAATTTTTCAAGTTCACCCATTCTTGTCGAAGTTCCACGGGTAACATATCATCCCATTCCAATTTCTAACAGGTCTAACAGAGAATCTTTTCTTTGACAATGACATGGGCAACAAAACCCATATGCTCATACGGACTATTGATGGTTGAGAGCACTCCACGTTTTGTGTAAGGTTTTGCCTCGCTCCTCACGCCGAAGACCTGGGTTCGATTCGCGACATTGATACAATGTGTGAAGCCCATTTCTGATGTTCCCCGCCATGATATTGCTGTAATATTGCTAAAAGCGGCGTAAAACCACTCTCACTCACGTCTCTGAAAGTATCTTTTCCAATTCCAACTATTTTGCGAGGCCCGTAAGAGACAATAGCTGGAGACAGGCTGTTTCATGCACCGTCATTCGGTCCACTTCCTGTAGGTATTTAGACGCATGCTCTTCCATCCCCTCGACGGAGGTGAAATCTTGATTCATCGCTCAACCAGACATCTCTTCATCACAGTTGAGGCCATACCCTGTGTTGACGACACCAATGCAGTCTTTGCTGACGATGTTGTCGACTCAGTATGACGCGTTGAACAGGAAGTCTTGCTCGTAGACCTGCTGCTCTTAAACGGTTTCGTACGGTCTGGTCGGGGATTCTGCGCAGTCCGGGTATTTGAGATGCGGTTGAGGTTGCTGTTGTCGTCCTTTTACGTAGGTGGCGCAATCGGATGTAGCGATCTTGGACGGGGGTGGTTACTCTTGGTCGTCCCAACCAACGTGTTGACCCATGCTGTTGAAACCGATCTCATAGCCTTCTGATGGTGCCTGGTGCTACATTGAAAACCCTGGCTACAGTTGATTGGGATTCCCCTGTCTGCAAGCGGCAAGCGGCCTTTGTTACTTTGCACTTTGCACTTCTGTTAATTTTGGCATTTTGTTGAACTGTCACTGTTCGATTGACGCATATGCCAGCCAATCAAAAACCTTGCACTTTAACACCGTTCATAGTGCTGCTGCGCGTGCAGTACGTGCAGGTCCATGGCCTTTTTGTTAATGCACTGGGTGCGTTTTTCCGAATCGTACGTGTTTCCCGACTAAAGGTTTGCATGTCCTTGTCATTTTGGTCTGGGAAATTTGTCACTGACACTATAACATATTAAGCCTCTTCATTTTGCAATTCTTGGTCCGCTGATTTTGCTTTTATGGCCAAAAATATCCGTATTGCGTTTCTTTTTAGAAGAGTATATTTGTCACATCTGGTCTTTGCAAAAGACCGTTGTTTAATGAAACTTGCACTTTTTTTGGATGATATATGCCAAATAATGGAAGATTTTTTCTGTTTTTTTAGAGGAGGGGCTATTTCCGCATGCTTGTTTTCAAATATCTTTTCCATGAAATCCAGTAGATGATTCTTTTTCACTTGATCCTGTGTGATACTACAGTCCAGAGTGTTGGCTCGTCTGATAGCTTGAGGTTTGTTGTTAGGAAGGAATGGTCTTGGCCATGGAGACTTGAATGGAAGTGGTGCAACTTCTGCCTCTATATATTTCCTTGTCCATGATTTGAAGAAATTCGCGATCTTCAACAGATAATCCGGGTTTGGCATCATTTTTAGAGACCTCAAATACTGTCCTTCTTAAAACCCTTCAGGCGACAGAATATCCCGTGAAGTCTTATCTTTCAGATCCAACGAGTTGAGACATGGCTTAAAAAGAAACGTGCGTCCATTTTTCAAGAGGTGTGTCTTCTTAACATTCACGATGTCAGGTTCGTGCGTAGCACTAGGTGCAGATGATGACTTGCGAGAGGGATTCTTCTGTGCCAGATCTGTTGAAGACCGTTTCAGCTTTTCATCTACATTGATAGAACTGACAAACAGGATTCAAAGATGTACTCCATGGAATATTTTTGTTGGGCGAATGAGTGCTCCAACATGTCGATCAGGTATTGAGCTGGATCTTGATGTTGTTGTGTCTTGGGAGAAGGTGGTGACATGCCTAGTATTGACATGATGGCGTCCACTTTTTTTTAGTCACATCTTTTCTCCCCGCGCTTTGCTGATATAGTCAGATAATTTGGAGAAGGCCTTCTTGGAGAGGGCACTATAGAGCTCGTGTATGATTTTCTGTGCAAGTATCGTCACTGCACTACCAGCATGAGTGAGTGAGCGAGTTAAGATTTAACGTCACATCAACAATATTTCGGCCATATCGTGACGAGAAGTACATTACTAATACATATATATTTAGACAAAATCTACCAGCATGAAGTATGCGGACCCACAGAAACAATAAAATGGACACATTTCTGACACACGGAAGAAGGCGCCATTATTGATATCACAATACACCAAACACCTTCTCTTCTCAAGTGTAATCAATAACTACTTCTTGAAGAAGTAATAGTAAATAATGGACTCATTGAATTGAAACGATGAGAATAGTGTGGACACATATCCAAGTGCTAGAGTTGGGCAGCTACAGAGATGTTTACTCCAGCACACACGGGAGAGAAGTGAGGATTTTTCCGACTTTGCACTCGGAAGAGTTGTAGTCCGGAAGTGCTATTGTGGGTACAACTGGTTATATATTGTTGACAGTGAAGAGGACTTCTGTTGAAAATCTGAAGGTTTAGTTTTAGTGTGATTGCAGCCAAAATACAGGATTTATGACAATGACGTAATAGAGGTAGAGGATTCGTAAGAATTATAGACATTTCTACCTGCCCTTGTTTTTTTGCTTACTTATTGTCGGTATTAAAGAGATCCAAGTCAGAGATTCTTCATAGTCTGTTTTGTCAACTTTATGAATATACATTTATAGACATCACAATGTTGTCAACTTTCTCTCTCTACCTTTGAGATACATGCATATTTTGTTGATAAAACAACTCTTATCCATTTTTCTCCCTTCAACAGATTCGGGGTGAAATAATTTCCAAACTCCAATCAGTGATAACTGACTATGACTTTATAGTGGACCGCTGGCCAGATTACAGAGCCCTGGTAGTACGCGTCAATCCTGCTACAGCCAAGGTAAAAAATGCTACTGACTGTTAAATCGTTTCTTGAGAAAACATACTGAGATCAACAAAGACGCCAACAAACACTGAATCTAAATAACTCTAATTAATCTAATTATCTAATTATTTGATTAACTGCAGCAATCAATTGAATAAACGCAAGGGAAATATGACTGAAGTGATTGCTGTTTCCCAACATGTTCTTCATATAATTAATTGGTGGTCTCACTCTGGGATTTTGCTGATTGGGGGTCAACGTGTTTTTTGTTCATGTCACTTATGTGACTGGTCCTGAAACGAATATTCAGCGGAGTGTGGCGTCAAAAAAATATATTTCCCTCACTGTCCCTATTTCCAAGAAATAACATGAGAAGTGAAATGTTAGTATCTGGTGTGTAAATTAATTAATTAATTTAAAATATATCTTTATAAGATGTATATTTTTTCAGTACCGAAACCACCTGATATCGGAAACCGTTGTCCATGCCACAGACTGTGAAGCTCTGGAGACCCTGCTTCAACTGCCTGAAGTCATAGACTGGTCAGCAAGAATTGGGTTTGTAGGTGAGATCAGATTGAATGGAAGCGAGTGAGTGAGTGAGTGAGTTTAGATTTATGCCTCTTTTAACAGTATTTTTGTTATGACATGGTCTGCCATTATAATGTTGAAGAAAAACCAAGGTTAACACAAGTCGAAGATTATCCCTTGTGTGTATATGTGAGAATACTTTGGAGATTCCGAGGTAAAATAGAATAGAACCTGATATTGTTGTGAGAGTAAAACATACTGGAGACACGGTGGTTCGTCGTTAAACACCATCCACCCACAAACTACATACTTAGACAAAACGTTTAAATTATCATCAAGTGTCGCGTTTTTGTGAATGACTTGTTGAGTTAATATATTCCACAGGGAAATATCCTGACGAGATGTCATCGGTTCTCAGTGTCATGCAGAAGCACCACAGGCCATATCACTTGGATAAGTTCTTTGACATGAAAGTCACGGAAAAGACGCTGAAGTTCTGGTGAGATAAGAAGCATGTTTAGATGATACATTACGATGATTACACCCAAAGCCACCAGTTCATACCTTAAAAATGTGTAGTTTTTCAATCACACAAAATTACCTTTTCAGGGTTCAGTTTAAACATTTTATCACAGCTCCATCGCCATATCATTTCCCAAACATAAACGGTGTCACTTTCGTCATCGTCCAGGCCCTTAGGGGGTTATCGTGCAGATGTGTCTACAAGCATCAAATTTGGCACAGGTGTAGACAGGAACACACTAAATTCATTTTTGGAGAGCGCCAAAGCCGTTGGAAAAATACAAGATGGCAGCCAGTCCCTATTGGATTTTGTCCTAATTTCATAACCAGAAGTCATAGGATCATGAATGAAGGCTCTTTCTATAGGTGTTTGCCCTTATGGATTCCAAATCTGAGCTTTGATTTGACATGGATCATTTTTCATGAACTTAGTTTTAAACGAGAAGACTTCGAAATGCAAGTAATATCATGCCAGCTAAAAACGAACCGTCTGCAGTGAGTTGGCGTTGCTCCAGAACTCCGTTTGTGTTTTGTGTTGGTTTTATGACGTGGTACTAGATTTGTATGGTTTCATTTCGGAAAGAATGTCTTTGAGGATATCAACATTTTCACAATGAGTTATTAGGTTTGTTTTCTGGGAGTGGAGGTATGTCTGCAATTATAAAGAAATAAAGTTTTGAAATGCTACATTACCAGAAGGTTATCTATATGATATGTTGATTACCATGCCATAATTTTCCATATTATTTACGTGGAACGCTTTGTAATAGAGATAATGGCTATTTCTTTACAATTCCCGTGGGTAATTTGTAAACTGGATTTCGTTTCCTGTTACATGTTGCAGGCCTATTCCAAACGGATTCAAGATAGGAAGTCTTATTCCTGAGCAAGCCAATCTAGTCAACTCTATATGGTCTTACAATGAAGGCACACACTCAGAGCTATATATAAAGGAACTCATCAGGAAACTACCTTCGTGTTGCCTGTACAACAGGAGAGGCTCCCTGGTTGGGTACGGCCTGACAAACCATTACGGGTATCTAGGTGTCTTACATATTCTGGAGGCACACCGAGGGAAGGGATATGCCAAGATGCTCACGTCCTACTTGGCCGGTTTGCGTCTACAGAAGATGGAAGAGGTTCATGTTTATGTTCATGAAACAAATAAGGCATCAATTGCGCTTAACAAACAAATTGGCTTTGAGACTAACCTGCCTGAGGATACTTGTTGGTGGATAAACACACCAGCGTCGGAGTAGAAAATGAGGATATGATTACGTGGGATGAACTTCAGGGTCACTTTTACAACTACAATAGTTGCAATAAAAATCACGATAGTTACACACACTACTGTTATACTTTAACAATAATGATACAATTGACGTATGTTGTTAAGGACCTCTACAGTCCTATAACGAGTACCTTTCATCATTCGACATGATGACGATGCCTTAAACACCCAGTAAGTTTATGATAATAAAACAGGGGGAGGAGGGCGTGGCATCAACGCTACCATACTCACCCAACATTCAGGCACACCAAATATGCATATATTTTAAGAAAAGGGCAATTTAATCCTGCATAAAATGCTATGAATAATATCAGGTATATCCATATCAATGGGAATGACTGTGTTCATTTCAACACTTGTAAGTTTTGGCCTTTTATAAAACACAAAATTTAAGTAAGGGTCAATTGTTTCAAAAAGGAAGTTTTAAAAAGTTTTAAGGAAGAATCTTTAAACATTTAAACATAATCAGGTCCTTGGCCTAAACCGATTCGCATATCATTAGACATGCAGGTAAACAGTACAATATTTGGGCAAACGTTCATCTGTTTTAAGGAAGCATGCTTCAACATTAAATTATCAGGGGAGTATAATTAACCCAAACCCAATTGTAAGATATGTAGGCAAACAGTACAAACATTTGGGGAAACGTCGTCAACTCGAACTCCATCGGAAATATATCGAGTTAAACTGTATTCGAAAAAAAGACAACATTAAACAAATGCCTGATAATTATCATTGTGTTACATTGCCACAAGCCTGAATCCTCGTATATACCATCATCTATTAGATTGTGGAATACATTACCCATTCAATAAAGGATAATTGGAACCTTCTCGATTTAAATTCACTTTGAGAACAGAGTCCACAGTTCCACCACAGTTCTTATATGGTAAATAGAAAAAGTAACAGTATACAAATACAACTTTAAGGCATGGTTAGAACTGGGGTCGCCACAGATAAGTGGCTGGCTGGTGTCTCCTGGTGTCAATGGATGTATATTCTGGATCCCATGCAAGTTTGGCCACCAGTACATTGGAAAAACCCTCAGACCCCTAAACACCTAAACTAGTGATTTAACAAATTGAGAATTGACTTTCACTTTGTGTGAGTTCATTGGAGTATGAACCTTCATTGAGCGAGGGCCAAACATTGTATAAACGTCATCGTAAGCTCCAAAGTGAAAGTCATTTCTTAAATATGTGGCATCCAGTTTTCATGGTATTATGTTTGCATTTGAAGGATAAATCATTGTGGTAAATGAACATTAAACAGACGTGTATATGTGTTTCTTAAAGTGCAATATACTTTCCCACCACTCCCAAACATAAGGGTGTCGCAAATCGTGCTCGTTCCAAAAAAAAGAACCAGAACCAAAGAATGGAGACGTCAATCTTTCACCTAAGACATCAGATTTATGGAGACTTTCCCAATATGTGTCTCAGTTCATATGTAGAAGGAACATCTTTCAAACAAGAATAACGGTTTAAGTCCGTTTGTTTACTTTCAAATGTTTGAAGGTTTAAATATTCATGAAATCTCAATATATTCCAAGATGCTACAACAGCATATCAGATTATCTATCATCCTTTCAGTTTCAGCAGTTTCGGAATCTAGCACCGAGGCTTGTCCTCAGCCACCCACAACACCAGACTCTCAATGGCAGATATGGAAAACGATACTGACATGCTATTAAATATCTCAACACAGGAGAATTTTGTTATAAGAAATTGTTACAAGGAATCAGCAGGGAGGTTCAGAAGCCGATACAAGAGCTCCTATCACCTTATCATCATAAAAGAAGTTAACAGTAGCCTTGCAATCTGTTTCCAAGTATGCTCTCCTTCAGGTCTTTGAAAGGCATTTAGAAGTAAAACACAAAAGGAAGAGAATATATGGATGTCAACTTCTTTATTATGAGGAACACAACGTTTCTGAGTATATGCTTTCTCCTTCATCAGGTGAATGAATGACTTACTTACTTACTTACTTACTTACTTACTTTGGAGATTTAACGTGCGCTTTCCGACTGATGCGTATTTCGCACACGAAAGGGGCGAAAGTGGTCTGTGCAACCCAAGAGGGGGGTTTAGGGGTTGCTTATATAGAATTTGGGAATTTTGAGATTTGGAATAGATGCCGATGGGGTTGGGGAGGAGAACTAAGGGAGCTGGGTATGGTGGATGTTTGTTTGTTTATGTGATTTTGATTTGGTAGGTTATTGTATTTTTAGATGCGTTTTATTAGTTCCGTTTTTATTAAGAATACGCCTACGGCCTTGAAGTTTTCTAGTTTATTTTGTGGGTTTAGTATTGCTTCTAGAGTGAGAGCCTTGTTTAGATTGAGGGTGGTTTGTAATGCGGTTCGATGTGTTAGGTAGTGTGTGCAGTGGATGAGTGCGTGTTCTGGGGTTTCTGGTTGTTTGCAGTGTGGGCAGTTACCTGTAGTGGGTTTTTTTAAATTTTTTAGGTGGTTATTTAGGTTGGTGTGTCCTGTTTGGAGTTTAGTGATTACTCTGTCGATTTTTTTGGATGGATGGAGAATTTTTGGTTTGGTTAGTGGTTTGCTGAGCACTTTTTTGATTTGGCTATTTGAGTTTAGATATAGGTTATGCCTATTTTTGTGTGATTTTTTGCTTGTTTACACTTTTAATTTCTGATTTTGAGATGGGTAAGTTTAAGCTTATTTCTGGGATTTCGAGGGATAGTTTAGCTGCTTTATCGGCGTTTTCATTACCGTATATTCCTACGTGGGCGGGTATCCACAAGAAGGTTATTTGTTTGCCTGCCTTAGTTAGGTCGTTGGAGCTTTTAAGTATTTGATTTATTAATTTAGGTCGGTTTTTGGTATTTTTGTTTTGGAGGGCCTGCAGTCCACTTAGGGAGTCGGTAAGTATTAGGATTTTTTTTTGTTTTTTGGATTCTTGATTATGGAGGGCTGAGGCCATGCCCATTAGTTCTGCCGTGAATATTAATTGGTTGTTTGGGAGTCGGAAGGATTGTGTGGTTTTAGTTGGTTGTGTGGTATGGACTCCAAAACCTGTGTGTTTGAAGGTCGGATCTGAGGATCCGTTCGTGTAAATGTGATACCAATTTGGCCAATTTTCGTGTGTGTATGCTAGTGTGGTAGTTTTAGCTATGTTTGGGTCGGTTTGTTTATTTATTTGGCTAGCTAGTGTTGTGTCTATTTTGGGTATTTTAAGATTAGGGGTGAAGATATTTGATTGTTTGCAGTTTTGTTTAAGATTTTTAATTTGGTGTTCATTTAGATAGTTTGTTATTCTTTGCGATATTGGGGTAAGTAAGGGGTGTTTACGAGCTAGAGCTTGGTTTTTGGGGCTGATGTTTTGGTTTATTAAGTTTTGGATGAGAGGGTTTGATTGGGACGCGGCCCAGAAATTTAAGCTTAGCTGTTCCCTGCGTAGACTTAGTGGCATTTCTCCTGTTAAGGCCTGAAGTGAGGTGTAGGAGGTGCCATGTTGGGTGCGTGTAATTAGTTTGAGAGCCTGATATTGTATTGATTCAAGTTTTTTAGATAGAGAGTTGTTTAGGGTGTTGTATATGGCGCAGCCGTAGTCTAGGTTTGATCTAATTATTGATATATAGAGAGAGAGGAGGGTATCTTTGGAGGCTCCCAAGTTAGAGCCAGTTAGGCATCTTAGGGTGTTTAGGTCTTTACTGCATTTAGTTGTTAGGTTTTGGATGTGAGCATCCCAGGTGAGATGTTCATCGAAAATAAGTCCTAAGAATTTAGTTTAATTTGATTGTTTGATTGTTTAGCTGGAGGATTGGGGAGGCGGGTTTCATGTTTTTATGTTTGAATACTATTCCTGTTGTTTTTTCTGAGTTAAGGGAGAAGCCCCATTTGTCAGCCCATTGTTGTATTTTATTAAGAGATTTTTGGAGTAACTTTTGGACCATTTTCATGCTTTTAGTGCGGATCCAGATGGCTCCATCATCCGCGAATTTTGATGTGTTTACTTTAGGGGATAGGCCCTCGAATAGATCGTTTATCATTATATTGAAGAGAGTGGGGCTGAGGATACTGCCCTGTGGAGTGCCATTTTCTAGGGAACATTGGTCCGATAGAGTTTGGTCTATACCCACGGTTATTTTACGATTGTTTAGGAAGTCCTGGATGTAGTTTATTATCTGACCTTTGAGTCCTATTTTTTAAAGTTTTTGTATAAGCCCATCGTGCCATACAATGTCGAAAGCTTTAGAGAAGTCTAAGAAGATGCCTGTGGTATATTGTTTATTTAGTTGTCCTGTCTTAATATCTTGTTCTAGTCGGGCGAGGTTATCTAGGGTTGAGCGGCCAGGAGTGAAACCGCTTTGATCTGGGTTTATGATGTTATTTTGGGTTAAGTAATGTTGTAATCTATTTTTAGCCATTGATTCCATTACTTTACATAAGTTTGAAGTTTGGGATATTGGTCTATATGAGTTAGCTTGATTAGCTGGTTTATTAGGTTTAGGGATTGGTATGACTAGGGCCTGTTTCCAGGGAGTAGGAACCTGTCTGTTTAGGTAGATGAGATTGTATAGTTTGAGTAGTGCCTGGAGTAGTTTTAGGGGGAGTTTTTCAATTATTTGGTAAGAAGTTAGGTCTAATCCTGGGGCTGTGCCCTTTTTCCTGTTTTGGATTACGTAGAGGAGCTCCTCCATTGTGTTGCGTTGATTTATTTCTAGATTGTTATTGTTTGGTTCTTTTGTGGGTTTGTTTTCTGTTTTAAGTTTGACTGAAGTTGGTGTTACTGCTAACGGCCGAAAAGTGGTTGGCGAGCTTATTTGCTTTTTGGGCGGGGTTGGTTGAGTTGTCAATGTTAGGGGTTTTTTTTATGTCGTTTTAAGCCTCTGATGGCGTGGATTTTGCGCCAGACCATTCTGGCATCTGTACGGTTATTTATACTTTCGCAGAATTTTTTCCAGTCTCTACTTTTGGCTATTTAGACTAGTTTTTGAACCTGGTGGTTTAGTTCGTGGGCTATGTTTAAATATTTGTAGTCGCGTTTTGCTTTATTGAAGGCTGATTTACGTTTTCGTCTAGTCTGTTCTATTTCCTCATTCCACCATGGTACCGTCGGTTTGCCTGTCTTAGATGTTTTGAAGGGGATGGAGGTTTTGGCTGCGTTTATTATATAGTCTGTTAGGTTTTTACAATAGGTTTCTGGATCATTATTTTCTATTTCGTTTAAGTTAGCTTCGTTGCAGATATCTTGGAATTGGTCCCAGTTAGCTTTATTGTAATGGAATTTTGGTTCTTGGTTTTCTGTTTGGATTGGTACGTTTGTATTTCCTATGGTTATGTTTATGGGGAAGTGGTCACTACCTAGCGGGACGTCGTGCACTTCCCATTGAGTACTTTGGGCTAGATCTGCGGTGCATATGGTTAGGTCGATAGCCGACATTTTTTGGGTTATCTTATCGTACCTCGTGGGTTGGTTGCTATTAAGGAGTACTAGGTCGTTTGTTTCTATCCATTCGGAGATTAATTTGCCATGATTATCTTTTTTATCATCTATGCTCCATGTAGCATGGTGAGCGTTAAAGTCTCCTAGGAATATAGTAGATTTATCGCTTATTTGGAGTAGTTTGTTTAGATCCTCAGGTTGGACTTTTTGTTCCGCCCAGTGGTAAATATTTATGATGTTTATGTTTCGGTTATTTAATGTGATTTTAATGCCGTTGGCTTCTAGGTTTGGCGTGTCTGTTTTTATTTCTTCGTAATTTATATCTTCCCTGATAAATATGATTAGTCCTCCTGCGGCTCTTCTTGTTTTCGGTTTAGCTCTGTCAGTTCTAACTGAGTTGTAGTTAGGTAGTGTGAATTTGGATTTTTTTGAGAACTTGGTTTCCTGTATACAAGCAATGTGAGGGCCTTTATTTAGTTTAAATTTAGTTTTTAGTTCATGGCCGTGGGAGGTGAGTCCGTTGGCGTTCCACTGAAAAATATTTAGTCCTTCCACTATTGGGTTCGGGCGATTGGTGATTTAGTTTTTAGTTTTTAGTTTATTCGGTGAGTTCTTTTAGATGGAGGTTAAAGAGGAAAAAGGGAAGATCGGTTAATTTTAGATTGAAAGCTACTTTGTGGAAGGATTTCATGCTAGCTTTTGGTGAGTTTTGACTATGCATGTATGCTAGGAGTAAGGTGAGGTTATTTAGGTTTTGGGTGTTGGCTGGTTGGGGAGTTTGGTTTGTTTTAGTTGGAGTAGTGTCTATTGTTTCCTCAGTAGTGGAAAAATCTTCGTCATCAGTTAGATTAGGTTTAGCTGATTGAGTTTCCATGGGGGAGGCATGTGATGTGGAGGATTGTGAAGGTGTTTGCGGGATGGGTGTAGCTGATGATTTCTTAGTGTTTGTGTTTTGTTGTTGTGCTTGCTTGTGGGAGAGAGTTGTTGCCATATGGGCTGTAGGGTGCTTGGATGAGGGTCGTGTTGTGGTGGTCATTTTGAGGTTTGTTTTGCATGCGGGGGTTGATGTTTTGGCTATGTGAGATGTGGGAGGGTTCGTGGTTGGTTGAGTGGCTGCTTGTGTGTGTGAGGTGGGTGCGGTTTCTCGGTAGGGGGCCCAGACAGCTGTCGGTTATGGGTGTGGTGTTTGTTTGTGGGATGGTGTTTCGGTGTGGTGTAGGGAGGAGTGGTTTAGATGCAGGTGTAGCAAATTTTCGTGTTTGGATTTTAGCCGTGTCTATGTTTATGTGTTTGTTGGCCTGCTGGGTGAGTGTGTGTCTGTATGGGCATTGGTTTGAAAGTGAAGTGTGTTGGGTGGTTTTGCAGTGGATGCACCAGGGTGTGCATGTGCCTGGGCAGTCTGTTTGTGCGCATTTTTTACATTTAGTTTTACGGTATGTGCAGTGGGAGGCAGTGTGGTTGTATTTGAGGCACTTTGTACATTGCTTAACCTGCTTTATATAGGGTTTGACTTCGAAGTTGGTGTGGGCTCCGAAGGATATGTGTTTGGGGGCTTCAGGGAATTTAGCGGTCTTTTTGAAGTTGATTATGACAATGGAGGTTGGGACCGTTTTTTCGTTTCTAGTTGAGGTTATTCTACGCGTGCTGGTGATTAGGGGTTGAGGCTTTAAGTGAGTATAATTGTAAGTCCTCAGTTGTTTCCCTTGGGTTAACCCTAATTACGCCTCGTGTATATTGTTGCCAATTAGGTGGGTTTTTTTTATTACCGTGACGTGGAATATTTGAGTTATTTTATTTGCTGCGTTGTAAGATTCTAAGAGAATGAATGCCATGAGGCAGAGAAGATATATATGTACATGTAAGGACAACAAAATTAAAAAGATAACAAAAGATGGAAAATAACAAAGGGTAGGAACTAACAAGGGACGCCAGCAGATGATTGGCGCTGATAGGTGATTAGCAATAGACAATGGAAGCCAACACTTGACAGTAATTAGCGCTGATGGTATGGAAGCCAGTACTTATTTGTTAAGTAATATGTAATGGACACTGGGCAAATGGGAGGCTGGGGGTAATTAGCATCGACAGGTGACAGAATGGACATGGCAATCGGTAAATTAAGCCAGATAGGTAATTAGCACTGAAAAAGTTCAAAGCAATAAGTCCAAAGCACTAGGCAGATGTCTCCTGATGTCAATGGCTGCTTGTAGTATCATTGTCGCCATTTTTTGTTGGTAGACAGGACTTTGGTGGCTTCCCACATGACGTTATGGTTTTGGTTCTTCAGGATGTGTTCGCAAATGGTGGATGTCAGGTCGAGTTTGTTAACAGAGGTCCGATGTTCTTTAAGTCTGGTGTTGAGGGGTCTGAGGGTTTTTCCAATGAACTGGTGGCCAAGGTTGCAGGGGATCTAGTATATACATCCATTGACACCAGGATACACCAACCAGCCACTTATCTGTGGCGACCCCAGATCTAACCATGCCTTAAATTTGCATTTGTATACTGTTACTTTTTCTGTTACCATTTTAGAACTATGGTGGAACTGTGGACTTATTTGTTCTCAAAGTGAATATAAATCGAGAAGGTTCCAATAATCCTTTGTTGAATGGGTAATGTATTCCACAATCTAATAGATGATGGTATATACGAGGATTCAGGCTTATGGCAATGTAACACAATGATAATTATCAGGCATTTGTTTAATGTTGTCTTTTTTCGAATACAGTTTAACTCGATAAAATTCCGATGGAGTTCGAGTCAACGACGTTTCCCCAAATGTTTGTACTGTTTGCCTACATATCTTACGACATTCAAATCTGATTGGGTCAATCTTACAATATGCAAATCTGATTGGGTCAATTATACTCCCCTGATAATTTAATGTTGAAGCATGCTTCCTTAAAACAGATGAACGTTTGCCCAAATATTGTACTGTTTACCTGCATGTCTAATGATATGCGAATCGGTTTAGGCCAAGGACCTGATTATGTTTAAATGTTTAAAGATTCTTCCTTAAAACTTTTAAAACTTCCTTTTTGAAACAATTGACCCTTACTTATATTTTGTGTTTTATAAAAGGCCAAAACTTACAAGTGTTGAAATGAACACAGTCATTCCCATTGATACCTGATATTATTCATGGCATTTTATGCAGGATTAAATTGCCCTTTTCTTAAAATATATGCATATTTGGTGTGCCTGAATGTTGGGTGAGTATGGTAGCGTTGATGCCACGCCCTCCTCCCCCTGTTTTATTATCATACACTTACTGGGTGTTTAAGGCATCGTCATCATGTCGAATGATGAAAGGTACTCGTTATAGGACTGTAGAGGTCCTTAACAACATACGTCAATTGTATCATTATTGTTAAAGTATCGCAGTAGTGTGTGTAACTATCGTGATATTTATTGCAACTATTGTAGTTGTAAAACTGACCCTGATAGTCATCCCACGTAATCATATCCTCATTTTCTACGCTGGTGTGTTTATCCACCAACAAGTATCCTCAGGCAGGTTAGTCTCAAAGCCAATTTGTTTGTTAAGCGCAATTGATGCCTTATTTGTTTCATGAACATAAATATGAACCTCTGCCATCTTCTGTAGACGCAAACCGGCCAAGTGGGACATGATCATCTTGGCATATCCCTTCCCTCGGTGTGCCTCCAGAATATGTAAGACACCTAGATACCCGTAATGGTTTGTCAGGGCGTACCCAACCAGGGAGCCTTCCCTGCTGTACAGGCAACACGAAGGTAGTTTCCTGATGAGTTCCTTTATGTATAGCTCAGAGTGTGTCCCTCCATTGTAAGACCACATAGAGTTGACTAGATGGGCTTGCTCCGGAGTAAGACTTCCTATCTTGAATCCGTTTGGAATAGGCCTGCAACATAAAACAAGAAACGAAATCCAGTTTACAAATTACCCACGGGAATTGTAAAGAAATAGCCATTATCTCTATTACAAAGCGTTCCACGTAAATAATATGGAAAATTATGGCATGGTAACCAACATATCATTTCAAAACTTTATTTCTTTATAATTGCAGACATACCTCAACTCCCAGAAAACCAACCTAATAATTCATTGTGAAAATGTTGACATCCTCAAAGACATTCTTTCCGAAATGAAACCATACAAATCTAATACCACTTCATGAAACCAACACAAAACACAAACGGAGTTCTGGAGCAACACCAACTCACTGCAGACGGTTCGTTTTTAGCTGGCACGATATTACTTGCATTTCGAAGTCGTCTCGTTTAAAACTAAGCTCATGATCAATGATCCATGTCAAATCAAAGCTCATTTTTAGAATTCATAAGGGCAAACACCTATAGAAAGAGCCTTCATTCATGATCCTATGACTTCTGGTTATGAAATTAGGACAAAATCCAATAGGGACTGGCTGCCATCTTGGATTTTGCCAGTATGGCGGCCCAAATGATCACCGGCTTTGGCGCTCTCCAAAAATGAATTTAGTGTGTTCCGGTCTACACCTGTGCCAAATTTGATGCTTGTAGACACATCTGCACGATAACCCCCTAAGGGCCTGGACTATGACGAAAGTGACACCGTTTATGTTAGGGAAAAGATATGGCGATGGAGCTGTGATAAAATGTTTAAACTGAACCCTGAAAAGGTGATTTTGTGTGATTGAAAAACTACATATTTTTAAGGTATGAACTGGTGGCTTTAGGGTAATCATCGTAATGTATCATCTAAACATGCTTCTTATCTCACCAGAACTTCAGCGTCTTTTCCGTGACTTTCATGTCAAAGAACTTATCCAAGTGATATGGCCTGTGGTGCTTCTGCATGACACTGAGAACCGATGACATCTCGTCAGGATATTTTCCTGTGGAATATATTAACTCAACAAGTCATTTACAAAAACGCGACACTTGATGACAATTTAAACGTTTTGTCTAAGTTTGTAGTTTGAGGGTGGATGGTGTTTAACGACGAACCACCGTGTCTCCAGTATGTTTTACTCTTACAACAATATCAGGTTCTATTCTATTTTACCTCGGAATCTCCAAAGCATTCTCACATATACACACAAGGGATAATCTTTGATTTGTGTTAACCTTGGTTTTTCTTCAACATTATAATGGCAGACCATGTCATAACAAAAGTTCTGTTGAAAGAGGCATAACTCACTCACTCACTCACTCACTCGCTTCCATTCAATCTGATCTCACCTACAAACCCAATTCTTGCTGACCAGTCTATGACTTCAGGCAGTTGAAGCAGGGTCTCCAGAGCTTCACAGTCTGTGGCATGGACAACGGTTTCCAAAATCAGGTGGTTTCGGTACTGAAAAAATATACATCTTATAAAGATATATTTTAAATTAATTAATTAATTTACACACCAGATACTAACATTTCACTTCTCATGTTATTTCTTGGAAATAGGGACAGTGAGGGAAATATATTATTTGACGCCACACGCTAAATATTCGTTTCAGGACCAGTCACATAAGTGACATGAACAAAAAACACGTTGACCCCCAATCAGCAAAATCCCAGAGTGAGACCACCAATTAATTATATGAAGAACATGTTGGGAAACAGCAATCTCTTCAGTCATATTTCCCTTGCGTTTATTCAATTGATTATTCCAGTTAGTCCAATAATTAGATAATTAGATTAATTAGAGTTATTTAGATTCAGTGTTTGTTGGCGTCTTTGTTGATCTCAGTATGATTTTCCCAAGAAACGATTTAACAGTCAGTAGCATTTTTTACCTTGGCTGTAGCAGGATTGACACGCACTACCAGGGCTCTGTAATCTGGCCAGCGGTCCACTATAAAGTCATAGTCAGTTATCACTGATTGGAGTTTGGAAATTATTTCACCCCGAATCTGTTGAAGGGAGAAAAATGGATAAGAGTTGTTTTATCAACAAAATATGCATGTATCTCAAAGGTAGAGAGAGAAAGTTGATAACATTGTAATGTCTATACATGTATATTCATAATGTTGACATAACAGACTATGAAGAATCTCTGACTTGGATCTCTTTAATACCGACAATAAGTAAGCAAAAAAACAAGGGCAGGTAGAATTGTCTATAATTCTTACGAATCCTCTACCTCTATTACGTCATTGTCATAAATCCTGTATTTTGGCTGCAATCACACTAAAACTAAACCTTCAGATTTTCAACAGAAGTCCTCTTCACTGTCAACAATATATAACCAGTTGTACCAACAATAGCACTTCATGACTACAACTCTTCCGAGTGCAAAGTCGGAAAAATCCTCACTTCTCTCCCGTGTGTGCTGGAGTAAACATCTCTGTAGCTGCCCAACTCTAGCACTTGGATATGTGTCCACACTATTCTCATCGTTTCAGTTCAATTAGTCCATTATTTACTATTAATTCTACAAGAAGTAGTTATTGATTACACTTGAGAAGAGAAGGTGTTTGGTGTATTGTGATATCAATAATGGCGCCTTCTTCAGTGTGTCAGAAGTGTGTCCATTTTATGGTTTCTGTGGGTCCGCATACTTCATGCTGGTAGTTTTTGTCTAAATATATATGTATTAGTAATGTACTTCTCGTCACGATATGGCCGAAATATTGTTGATGTGACGTTAAATCATGGACAAGGAAATATATAGAGGCAGAAGTTGCACCACTTCCATTCAAGTCCCCCATGGCCAAGACCATTCCTTCCTAACAACAAACCTCAAGCTATCAGACGAGCCAACACTCTGGACTGTAGTATCCCACAGGATCAAGTGAAAAAGAATCATCTCCTGGATTTCATGGAAAAGATATTTGAAAACAAGCATGCGGAAATAGCCCCTCCTCTAAAAAAAACAGAAAAAATGTTGCTATCTACCAATATTTGGCATATATCATCCAAAAAAATTAAATCAAGTGCAAGTTTCATTAAACAACGGTCTTTTGCAAAGACCAGATGTGACAAATATACTCTTAAAAAAAGAAACGCAATACGGATATTTTTGGCCATAAAAGCAAAATTAGCGGACCAAGAAGTGCAAAATGAAGAGGCTTAATATGTTATAGTGTCAGTGACAAATTTCCCAGATCAAAATGACAATGACATGCAAACCTTTAGTCAGGAAACACGTACGATTCGGAAAAACGCACCCAGTGCATTAACAAAAAGGCCCCTGACTTGCACGCACTGCACGCGCAGAAGCACAAGGAACGGTGTTAAAGTGCAAGGTTTTTGATTGGCTAGCATATGCGTCAATCGAACAGTGACAGTTCAACAACATTCCAAAAAGTGCAAAGAAACAACGTCATAGGCCGCTTGCAGACAGGGGAATCCCAATCACCTGTAGCCAGGGTTTTCAATGTAGCACCAGGCACCATCAGAAGGCTATGGGATCGGTTTCAACAGCATGAGTCAACACGTTGGTTGGGACGACCAAGAGTAACCACCCCCGTCCAAGATTGCTACATCCGATTGCGCCACCTACGTAAAAAGACGACAACAGCAACCTCGATCAACCGCATCCCAAATACCCGGACTGCGCAGAATCCCCGACCAGACCGTACGAAACCGTTTAAGAGCAGCAGGTCTACGAGCAAGACTTCTTGTTCAACGCGTCATACTGAGTCGACAACATCGTCAGCAAAGACTGCATTGGTGTCGTTAACACAGGGTAAGGCCTCAACTGCGATGAAGAGATGTCTGGTTGAGCGATGAATCAAGATTTCTCCTCCGTCGAGGGGATGGAAGAGCATGCGTCTAAATACCTACAGGAAGTGGACCGAATGACGGTGCATGAAACAGCCTGTCTCCAGCTATTGTCTCTTACGGGCCTCGCAAAATAGTTGGAATTGGAAAAGATACTTTCAGAGACGTGAGTGAGAGTGGTTTTACGCCGCTTTTAGCAATATTACAGCAATATCATGGCGGGGAACATCAGAAATGGGCTTCACACATTGTATCCATGTCAGGAATCGAAATCAGGTCTTCGGCGTGAGGAGCGAGGCAAAACCTTACACAAAACGTGGAGTGCTCTCAACCATCAATAGTCCGTATGAGCATATGGGTTTTGTTGCCCATGTCATTGTCAAAGAAAAGATTCTCTGTTAGACCTGTTAGAAATTGGAATGGGATGATATGTTACCCGTGGAACTCCGACAAGAATGGGTAAACTCGAAAAATTCATTACTCATGCAGTTACAGATTCCTCGGACATTCTTAACGATGTCTCCATTTCTTACAAAATCAGGAGATTTTCTGTTTGTGTAACGAATAGGGTAGCCAAAATAAGAAACTTGGTCATCTTCACAAATGTTGCGACAGTTTTAAATCCCTCAGATTGTGCAACAAGATCAATTCAAGCCAACTTGGAAACAGCCCATGGCTTCACGTTCCAACTCCCCGAGAAAGATCAACACACTTGTTTAGCGAAGACGCGGAAAATAGCACAGACCTGTTAAACGAAGTGGCCTCATGTGTTACCAGTGTGGCAAACAGAAACGAAAAGGCTGTCGTCCGAGAGAAATCAGCAACAAGATAAACACGTCCCATCTCAGAGATGAAGGTGCTGCCATCTGCAGAACGTTCTGTTGTGTTACTCAACATACCAAAGTTTGAATGTTATGTCATGCATGTATTTGTGTGGGTGTGGGTGTGTATGTGTGTGTGTGTGCGCGCGCGCGTGTGTGTGTGTGATACCTTCATAAGATATCAAGCGGGGATATCAAGTAACAATAATATCAATGTAGTTATATGCAATCATGCGCTTCGTTAGATGTTTTCCATGATTATTGTGCAGAATGGAAGCTAGATGTCAAGATCGCTGAGACAAAAGAAATAAACTATCCTTCAAATATGGAAATATGGAACTGGAAATAGTAGACTCTTATGTATATCTTGGTATAAAATTTCATATACATAGAACTTTTGCACATGCGGTTAAGACCTTGGCAGAGAAACAACTTAACTGAAATAGAGGTCTTGAATATTAACAGAAATCGACAAATATTTTTAATAAATACCATTCTGTACCATCGATGATAGGAATTACACTTTTTGCAATGCTTTCAATTCCAAGTGTGATATGCTACCATAATTTGAATGAATCTAAATGTGACCGTGAAACAAAAGGTGTTGAAATCCTTAAGTTCGTCAAACGGATATGAATTTATCTTCACAGGTAGCGCTTTATGTGTTAATATAATGTTTTCTAAAACTCTGAACGGAGAAACTGACTATTCATGGTGTTTATACAGGAATTCTAACATAGAGAAACTCACAGTTACCCAGTCCCCTGAAATCCTGCATACCCCAAGGGAGCTAAAACATACCTGCCACTAGCGAGGAGAAACAATAAAGCGCTACTAAAAGTATCTTATTTACACACTGATACTGACTACCGTTACAGTTAACATTCATATATTTCTTATGTTGAAATCAGGTATGGCGCATGCAGAAGACACAAATTATCCAGAAGAATGAATTAAGCATTTAGAAACCTGACGCGCACTTCTGATGTTTCATCCGTAATCTGTGGGTTGGTTGACTTCACATCCATTGATATTGCACTGACCCTCTAATCTGTTCAATCATATCTGACTGCAGTTAGACATTCATATCAATGACTACATCTAAATTAATACCCAAATCGTTGATTAAATAATTACCCCAAAGAAGAGAAAACGCCAAATGAGAACAGCTGCTTTATACCAGACACCCTCGTCAGATCACACACTTTATAGATAGGGACAGAGGTTGGTATACCACTACTTTCACCTTAAAGCAATAGACTGTTCACCTGGGGAATGACGACAACCACAGGTGATAGGGTTATGCTATGGGATAATGACGACACAAAGCTGTTACAGAAGTACTTGTTGCATAATATGTAATTGGGATCCTTGAAAAAAGAAGGGTAATATTTTTAGCACACGAAGACGTATTTGCCTTGTATTTGTTTTGTTTGTTGTTGTTTAACGTCGCTCTCAGCAATATTCCAGCTATGTGACGGCGGTCTGTAAATAATCGAATATGGACCAGAACATCCAGTGATTGACATCATGAACATCGATCCACGCAATTGGGATACCATGACATGCGTCAACCAAGTCAGCGAGCCTGACCACTCGATATTTGCTTTGTACATAAGAACTAGTAACTGTACATAAACATTTTCTTTGAAACTTGTGGTTTTGCTTTTGAGTCAACAGAACTTTGCACGAAGACCCTTCTATTGGAAGATATCATTGTTGCAGCCTCCTCGTGTAAAACGTCATGAATGTGTTTAAACAACTGTATCAAAAACGAAGTGAGTGAGTCAAAATGCAACACATATTTGAATAATATAATATATTTTTCCCCGATGTAATGAGTTTGGACACGAGCTGGATATTGAGTATTCTCTGGCGTTGACGTTTTGCATTTTATTCTAGCAACGGCATGTTATCTCAATCAGTCCATCCCCCAGACAAACAATCTTTTTCAGGGTTTATTATAGTGCAGTTTTTTTAAATTTATCAACTGAGACATTAAAATCAAGATTTGAAGAATGTGATTCATTATCAACTTAGCTTTATCTGGACAGTTACTTTGACGACCTATATAGAATTATCTGGGATTCAATCATTCCGACACCAAGCACTTTATAGTTAATATGTTCAAGTTTTACATCGCATCAGCAATCTTTCAGTTTATAGCGACGACATAATATGTGTAATATGTTTTAGTATTGTTTAAAATTGAGTTTTAATATTATATAATATTGTTGTAACTTACATTGCACCACATAGGTTTCAACAGATTATTATCACATCAGTAAGCACAATATGTTGTTATGTACCGCCGTTGTTCAGGCTTGCTGACTTGGTTGATGCATGTCATCGTATCCCAATTGCGTGGTCCATGATGCTAATCACTGGATTGTCTAGTCCAGATTCGATTATTTACAGACGCCGTCATATAGCTGGAACATTGCTGAGTGCGGCGTTAAACAACAAACCAACCAACTAATAACAATATCAAATCAAAGACATAAATATATGAATATCAATGATAACTATCAATGTGACCACAAATGACTTGTGACCATAAGTTTATCGATATATACTTGTACATCAATATGCCCGTGAAGATCCCGGGGTAGTATAGGTCTTCAGCAACCCATACTTGCCGTAAAAGGTGACTATGAAAGTCGTAAAAGGCGACAAACGGGATCGGGTGGTTAGGCTCGCTGACTTGGTTGATACATGCCATCGATCCCAAATGAGTGGATCGATGCTCATGATATTAATCACTGTAGACTCGATTATTTTTACAGACCGCCGTCATATAGCTGGAATATTGCTGAGTGCAGCGTTAAACAACAAACCAACCAAACCAAGTATACATCAATAAACACAGGCTCTGTCCTGAAATGTTGCATCCTGCTTCACTTGGCTTGAGCAAAGTGGAAAAACATCCTCGGATCTGTACTCTGTCGACCACAACATGTTTTGAACGATACATCAACGTAGCAAAACATAAAGTTATCATTAAAAGACACGTCTACAATAATGCAACACATGCTGTACTCACATGATTTGCATTCCGGATGTTTTGTAGAGTTGATAATAGCCGAGGAAGCTGTTGCCTTCCCAGGAAGACAGCCATGGTATGTATGTTCAAGTAGGCCTCTCAAATGAAACAATATTCAACTATCTATTATATTCATACATATTCATGCGTAATTGTGACATGAATTAGAATGCTAGTTTCATAACGACATTTGTGGTAAGAGGACACGTAATATTATCTGACAAAATATAGGCTATTTTCTGTTCATCACGCAGTTTGATAAAATTTGGGTTTAACACAAGACACTTGTTTGAGAGACTACGTCGCTCACGCATTGCACGATTCTGTACACCATTAATACACGGCATATTATTGTTTACCCACATACAAGATCCATATTCTAAAACAGACCCCACTATCGTGTCATATAACGTTGTAAATGTACGGTATTGTATACCACATAATATAAGATAGCTACGCGAAAAATCGCAAAGAACAATGAAGAACGAAGCGTGGTATATTTCACGATAATACATTGTTCTGTCATGACGTTTTTTTCAGGAGATTCGAACTTGAGCTCGCAACTTGATGAGAGGGGAGTGTCTAGTGAGTTGTTCCCCATAGATGTAGCCAGGCAAAGCAGATAAACGCGATGGCAGAACTATCGCATCCAAAACCGGGAGACATTTGACAATCGGTACAGAAAAGGTACAGGTAATCAATCAATTGATTTTGATAATAAAATATAAGAAACCATGCTCGGGTGGGACCCTCGTGTGAAAACGCCTGTGATGACTGGATATTGTGTTATGTGCATATTGATCTTGGTAGACAAGAAAACGAATACGTTTTCACGCGCTGACCTTCACGAAACTCCAGGGCCTTAACAAATGTACCTTTTAAGTATTAATAAACTGCACAATTTAGGTGAAAGTTGTTTCGTAACGATATACATGTATACTCTACCGCAAAAGAAACGACAAAAGGATAGATATATGAGAAACCTTATTTGTCCAAACACTGTAAACATACATTGAGACATATTAAAAAGATGAAACTTCGCAAAACTGATCATCAAGGTTGAAAGTGTCAAATGTTCCTAAATTGAAACACAACACTAGTCTCTGAGAAAATGGCATCACAAGTCAGTATCACGTATGTCCGCCATGTGCATTGATGACTGCTGTGCAACGTCGATACATTGAATGGATGAGGCGGTTGATGAAGGCCATAGGCACTTGAGCCCACACCCTGAGGAACGCCTGACGAAGTTCAGCTGCAGTTGTCGGCTCTGGTCGGACGTCATTCAGCCGTCTTTGAATCACGTCCCACAGGTGCTCAATGGGATTTAAATCGGGACTGAGGGCAGGCCACTGCATGGTTCTGATGCCATTCTGCTGGAGGAAGTCTCTTGTTGCTCTCGCAGTGTGGGCACGAGCGTTATCATGCTGAAACTCGTGGTTGCGGCGACGTGCCAAATGAGGTGTGATCTATGGTCTCAAGACTTGATCAATGTACCGAGCTGCTGTGACACCATTGCCTCTCCATGGACCGATGTTCTGGAAGACCACAGAGCCGACCCTCTGTGCAAGACCAATTCCACCCCACACCATGATGCTCGGACCACCCCACGAGTCTCTCTCAACAACACAAGCATCCGAATAAGGTTCCCAACAGGGTTGCCAGACTCCTTCTCTTTGCCATCTGCTGATGAGATACAGTAACGGCTCTCGTCTGAGAAGAGGACTCTTCTCCACTGCTGGTGGCGCCATTGCTGGTGCTGTGTTGCCCACCGAAGACATGGTGTCAGAATAGGTCCTCGGTGTGGCAGTGACAGTGGGGATGTCTGCTCGCCAATCGTCGACGCACGGTGTCCGCACTAATGTGTCGCTGGTGTGTCCCCATGGTCTATCGAGCAGTTTCCGCTGCAGTGACAAAGCGATCTTGAAGATGCTGTCGCACAATCTGACGATCCTGACGTCGGTTGGTGACCCTTGGTCTTCCACTACGTGGTCGGTCATATGTAGCGTTGGTGGTCTTGTACCATTGCTGGAGCCCGTATATTGTCCTCCCGTGGACTTGAAATGTATAGGCTACTTGCCGGGCGGTTCGTCCAGCTTGCAATCGACCAAGGGCTTGGTGTCGCTGATTTCTCGTCAAACTTGGCATGTGGTAGCAATTCAATAACGAATGAATGTTATCCTATCTGGGTGGATTTTTATAGGACAAGATATGGGGGAACGCATGTGCATTTCAATTTGCACGGAACTCACGTGCATCGGGTTACCATGGCCGTTGCCGTGATGCGTTTGGGGGGTCGGTTTTATTGACATCTGCTTTGGGTTTTTTAGCATCAAATGTCATTTTTCCGTACAAGGTAATGTTAAATATTAGAAACTTTGACAAAAATTACCCAGATTTTTAAATGGCAACTGTTCATGCAATGTAACTTGGGGTGACGTTTCTTTTGCGGTTAAGTATATGTTACTTAAGGTGCCTTTTGAATGATTTGTTACCATGATTTTTCTATTGCATTTTGGTAGCATGATCGACCGCATGGCATTACTTTTAAACTATAGGGTGATGTAAACCACAATTATAGAGAGAGAGAGAGGTTATCACCCGTGTGTGTTTTAAAGATGGTAAATATCCTATTTTAGGAATAAACATTGCAAACATCCTCTCTCACAGACGACAAGACCATCAAGACTGCCCCTGATGACAAGGGCAAGTCCATAGTCATCATGGACACTGTCCACTTCCATGAGCTAGTCAACAACATCCTCAAAGACCCCACCACCTACTCCAAGATCAAGAAGGACCCAACTGCCAAACTCCTTCGCCAACATAAAACCCTCTTCAAACAACTAAAAGACAACTTTGAAATTACCCAAGTACTTCACCACCAACTCACCTTCGCTTGTTTACTCTCGTCTTGTTGAAAATGATAAAGACGAGGGTTTGCGACATACGTTCTTGTGTACGACAGGGCAATAGCTATTAACAGCTTTTGCTGTTGGTACGCACAGTTAGCTTGGGGCCTTAGTCAGCATCCCGGCGTTCCCAAAAGCAATCATCCTACCCCACCTTCTGCATCCGCCTTTGCTGTTATATTACATTATGAACTAATTTATGTTAATGTTGGATAATTACAAAAATTCCTGTAGGTTTTATTTTCTGTATAGAAGTCCGAGTTTTATATACGGGAAATGCCGCTATCATTGACGGTATAGTCCATTAACATCCTGTGCCCATTTTAGATTAGAACTAACGCACTTTAAGTGGTTCTCGGCAAGTGTATACTGTACTTATAATAATAAAATAGGAATATTCAACTCATTCAAGATTGTATGAACAAGTTTGAGCAAAATGAGCGCCCTATTTGGGCATTGTCCATGACCAGTAAATTATTTATGAACGTATACTGATGAGTAAGTTTGAAATTTATATGGTTCGGAAGTTATGATAGCGACCATCTTTAATACTTTAACACTTACTAATATGTAAATGGGGTGTATGGTTACAACAAGGTTACAACATGGTTATTACATCCCAAATTTTGCGTCCTGTATATGGGATAATTGCTAGCAGCTATGTAAAATGCTAATTGGGGCTTTTCAATGCTGTTAATATGGCAAATGTCAACACGTTTTTGAGACAAAGTCCAAGGTTCGAGATAACATGCAAAAAGAATATGTTCGAGATAACGAATTTCGAGATAAGGGGGTCCGACTGTATGTCCGAAACACGATGTACTTGGGCGACGACAACAGAAGCCATGTTTGGCTTATTCGTCCAACCAGTAAATTCACGGAACAAACACTTTTAAAACAAATATTCATTCTCACCATTCCAACGTCAGGAATGAGACGCTAATGTTAACAAACTATTTTTGATAGAAACAGGTTCAAAATCAAAACGATATTTTTAATATAGCAAAATAAAATATACGTTATTTGTATTTGAGAACATTAGTAATTACAATAAGATAATAAAACAAAATGGTGTCATGGGTCCACGGACTCCAAAACAAATATTATTGCTATGTGATTTTCTTTAAACACATACATTGATTTTCAAATGCTTTGACGCTATAAAGATTAACTACTACTCTTCTAAAAATACTGGTCATAGTTTAGTTCGTTGCACCAGAGGCTGCACCCAATCCCAGTAATCGGATGGGCCTTGTTATAACACAGACACCATGCTAGGCCTACCTGACGGTGATGTGATGTGGATGTTCTGCCACTTATTGGTCTCAACCCAGGAACTGCCCGAGCTATTATTGTGGCTGTTTGGTATCGATTCCGCAGATTCCGCAGATTCAGCAGATGCCGCAGATGCACCACGACTGTACCGTGACATGAATGTTGCCCTGCTGTATATAAAGTCTCCAAAGAGATGATATTGTGTTTCGATGAACATTAAAATGTCTGGCAACTTCGGTTTGCGCCGTTCCTGTTTGCAGCATACCCACAGCAAGTGGACGTGGATTTTCATCAAGCCGCGGCATTGCGTAAGCCTTAATTACGGTTAAACAAAATAAAAGTGCTTTTATTGGCGCCTGATGGCTAAATATTAATTTTTGCTGTAGCACAGTTACTTTTTTTCCCGTTAGTATGCTAGTATTGTCAGACCCGAATAGTTTCCAAACTGAGACTGTATATTCAACACAAATTACTTGAATGGGAAAAGTAAAGGAAAGATCTTCAGCGCAAATGCGCGAATGCATTTTGTTTACCGATATATTAGGTGACCGAACCGCAAAATCCTGACTGTTTTGACCATAAAATATGTTTGATATCTGCGGTTATCACAGCTGTGGGAAATGCAACTGTCAAAAGCATAACTGGCTACTGCAACAGATTTGAAATGACTGGAGGGAAGTTTATTACCGGGACATCTATAATGACTCAAGTATCATGAACTGGTTGCCGCCTCCGTGGTCTTGTGGTAGAGCGTCCGCCCGGAGAGCGGAAGGTCCGGGGTTCGATCCCTGGCCGCGTCATACCAAAAGACGTTAAAAGATGGTACTTGTTGTTACCCTGTCTGGCGCTCGACATGAAGGGGCTAAAACAAGGACTGGTCGGCTCGGAGTCAGTATACTGTG